TTATCAGACTTTCGCCTACTCTGCTCACTTTTAGACGATCTCTGAAATCTTATCTCTTCAGGGAAGCCTATCCTGCCCTCAGCTAATAATTGAATCTTCTACTCTTCCAACCAGTCCATCCCCCACAGTTACTACCTTTTTGTACCACTAGCCCCTCCCTCCTAGATTGTAAGCTCCGAGGATCAAGCCCTCCTATCCCTCATGTATTGAACTGTATTGTTGCTGTATTGTCTCCCGTTATATTGTAAAGCGCTGAGCAAACTGTTGGCGCCATATAAATCCTGTATAATATTAATATACAGAATTACTAATCTTTGGCATTGAAAGCCTTGTTACAAGTAATTTAAGCCGGGCATGGATGGATTGAAATTTGGCCGATTCTGCTGCAACTGGTCGAATTTCAGTCCATTTGTGGCCAGGCTGGTTGTATTGAAGTTGATCTATTGATTAACTTCGATACAACCTGCCTGTCTGGACTGAAGGCAGCTATAGCCATCATCAGTGATCATTGGGGAAGGCTCCCCACTGGCAGAACATAATGGCACTGGGGGAATCGAACAATTTTCTTTCCTTCAACCTATGGTTGAAAGAGAGAGAAAATTGCATAATCTATGCATAGTTGCATAATGTATTGTTGATTTGTAGTTGTTTGATTGGCATTCTCCTCAGTTTGACCCACATTTAATCCAGCCGGTGCTTTGGCCATGTACTGTTCTTTTAGTATTACTCAGTTAATATTTGGGGATCCCTGCTCAGGCTGGTGGTGTCCTGTAGTGTGGATGCCACTGGAACTGTTTGTTTATGCTGGCGATTGGTTCATCCAGATCCAAAGCATGCAAGCAAGATGAAAGGAGATTTCCTGGCTGCCACACACCTTACCTAGCCATGTAGTAGACAGATAAAAGCTCCTCTGCTCAGTCCATTAAAGCCACTCCCCCAACATATTTTGCCCTAACCCCCCCCCCCCGAAAATAAATGTGGGCGGTACAGGTACAACACAATTTAACAGGTGAGGGTTAGACCATCATCAGTCTCATGTCACAATGTTAATGACTCTTAATTCACACTTGTTCCATTTCTTTTTTTTTTATTATGACTTTTACTTATAAATGACTTATGTTTAACAGTTTTCTTTGTGAAAAATCATTTCAGATATAAGCTTCTTACGTACTTACACAGTATAATTTATTTTGTGTCTTGAATGGAATTTATTGCCTGCGGTGACTTCCTTTTTATGAAGTGCGTTTACATTTATTTTAATTAATTACATAGAGCTTTGAATTTGTGCACGAAGCGGATCATTGTGCTCCATTGGTGTTGGTATTTGAGTGTAGCCCTCTAAAGACACCTGCTCACTACTTTTTCCTAAAGTGTACTTGTTTTATCGCTGTAATGGAACCGAACCCAGACAGCACTTGGGTATTTTCCATTATACTGCAGCTTCCCTGTCTGAACACAAATCCCCGGACACCACCCGCTGATCATGCAGGAAATAGACAGCACCCGACTCTTCTTAAGACAGGAAGTCAACTCCTTTATTTTTTCACAAACACATGATATATACACAGGGCGGGGAAACACAACCAGGAACAGGAAACAAATCAGCCTGCCCCATCAGTGGGAAGGGCTACAGGAAACACCCCCCACCCAACCAAGACACAGAACAATGGGATGTTGCACATGGCAGAGGACAGTGGACAACCACATGGCAGAGAATGGACAACATACCAATTCACATTCACACCCTGTACCCCTTAACATGCACAGGGTGGGTTAAACATAAGAATTTGGGAAGATGATACAGGGGTCCCCCCACCCCCAAAAGTCACTCCCGTCACAATCGTCTTAGCTTCTTTGGTCACCTTAGCAAACGAAATTGTACACAACCTACTCAACCGTATCTGCCATTGGGGATGTAGCCAATCCAGTCAGTACAAACCAGTGACATTTATTTCAGGTATTTATATAGCGCCGTCAATGTACGCAGTGCTTTTACATATATATTGTACATTCACATCAGTCCCTAACCCTCAAGGGGTGTACAATCTAAGGGCCAATTTAGACAGGACCCATTTAACCTACTAGCATGTCTTTGGAGTGTCGGAGGAAACCAGAGTACCTGGAGGAAACCCACGCAAACACAGGGAGAACATGCAAACTCCAGGCAGGTGGTGCCATGGTTGGGATTCGAACCAACGACCCGAGTCCCCCCCCATCCATCCATGTGTCCATGCTTTATTTTGCTGAGAAATCACTCTGAAAAACACCTGTAGCATTTTTGGCTGTGGTCATCTTGAGTAAGGCAGATGATTCATGTTGTATTTCTTGGAATCGGTCTGCCTTTAGCTCAGGTATGCAGACAGGAGGGTGGGCTTAGCTGTGAAAAGCCCTCCTCCCCTCCTGAAGACTTTTGGGATGTATCACATCATTTGCCTAGCCATGGAAATCAAGAAGTCACTGAAGAAATGTAATAAAAACAGTTTAAAACAAGTGAATAAATTATACTTTCCTATCTATTTACTAATAGAGGCCACATTTATGCGTTCCCAAAAATACAAAAAAACGCCCCTCCAGAACTGTCGCAGGAGCGCG